TGTGTGTGTGTGTGTGTGTCTGTCTGTGTGTGTGTGTGTGTGTGTGTGTGTGCTGGCAACTCTCCCAGGGATGTCTGTTTGTCAGGGTTAATCAGTTTGGGGGCTGCGACTCGTCACCGTGCCGGTCAGTCCCACAATGGCGAGCTCCGCAAGTTAGCTCACGTTGCACACTATTGCCGGGTACCCTGTGGCGCTGCTGGTTCTGCTGTGCCTCTGTCGAGAAGCTCGGCTGGCATGAGCCGTCAGCATGTCGCCATGACGCCCGGGTCCCGCAAGCCTCCCAGCTGGCTTCTGGGAAGCGGTGAGACCCCCCACTCAACTCGGCCCCCCGTCCCCGTCACTCGCCTCCTCACCCTCATCAGCACGTTGCTCATAATGAAACGTCAGTGATGACTCGCGTTTCCATCGGCACCTTTTGTCAGCTTCCTGCTCTCTAGTGCTGCGGCTGTGATGTGTGAAGCTTGGCTCGTACATGTGGGTGGGTTGGCCCAGTGCTCCTGGGATGCTTCTCCAGGTTTTCAGTGACTCACAAAATGCTCCCCCACACTGCCCTTCCTGGGTTCGCAGCAGGCGTCGGGGATTGGCTCTGTGGGAACTGAGTAGCCTTAAACCCGATACGGTGAGTAATCGGTTAGACGCAGGCTCAGAGGGGCCCCAGCACACACACCTGGCCTGAAAACAGGCACTAACAGTCTTGCACAATGTTGGTGCAGTACTTTCCGGCTCTGATCCCAGTGGGGGTTAAAGGGTGTGTCCATGGGACTCCCGTCACAGACCCTGCGGGGTGGGGGACACGGTAACGCCGGTGTTTCTGTGAGTCTGTGAAGGGGGGGGGGGTGCGGCTGCCGCTGTGTGTGGCCGTGGCGGTGTGCTTCTGCTCTGTGTGTGTGCGGCAAGTCGATGCCCCTCCCATCCCTGGATGGCAACGCTCGTGGCAACGGAGACGGAAGGAGCAGCTGGTTTAGCGGGAGAGCGGACTGCTGGGACCCGACCCGCAGCTGGGGGCCATGTTTTAATGGGCTGGTGTGTCGGGGGGGGGGGGGGGGGGGTTGGGGGGCAGTTGATGGCAGAGGGGGGGGGGTGATGGGACGGGGGGGGGGGGGGGGCTTGGTGCAATTCTTCCCTGTTCCGCCGTCAGCTACGTTTTTTAACCCCGCCTGCGTTCGGAGAGGGTCACTGTGTGTCTGTCTGAGAGTCTGTGTGTGTCTGCGTTTGCTGTTTGTTCTGCACAGTCTGCCGGGTCGGCATTGTTGGCTCGCTGGTGAGATTAGTATCAGACCGACTCGGGTCGTCCACGCTGCTGAACCTCAAAGGCAGCCTGTTTTGCTGCCTTAGCCTTTTTGGGGGGGTGGGGGACAACCTTTGTCAGCTTTCAAAAGATGCTTCAGGTGTTCAGAGGTTACTGCTCACTCTCCTAAATTAAACACAATCCTTGATATGATTTAGTTTTATCCTAAAATATGTTAAAATAGTGTGAAACATCCTTGCAGCCCCTCCCCCCACCTCCATCATGCCCCCCAACCCTATCGGGCCTCATTGTGACAAGGGACTCAAACCCTTTCCCAGGTGTCAAAGACTGGAAGACTGGAACTGCTCGGAACCATAATTTTGGTTCCTTCCCATAGGTGGAAGGACGCAAGATGGGCTTGAGTCTGTAAGGCCCGTGTTGAGGCTGCTGATGGTGGCGTTTCTTGGGTGACGGCTGATCTGCAGGCAAATGGCCCTGAAGTGGAGTGATGGGGCTCCAGTCCCAGTCCAGTAACTTCAGTCATCAGACTACAGGCAGTCAGAAATCAGATAATGGTGGGTGGCGACCATAATGCCGCGCTGGGGCCGCTTTCTGTCTGCCAGTCGCTTGCTCTAGGCTGCGGGCCGTGTGCAGAGGAGCCCTGCCGCATTCCTCCTACTGCTGAACTTGGCACTGACCTCCTTTGGTCCGGTGTGCTGTACGGCTGGACCGACGTCCCTGACTGGAGCGAGACCCTTTGCTGCACCTCCTTTATGTTTCATAGGTGCTTCTTTGCTAATCAGGGGGGGGTTGTGTCATTTTTAATGACTTGTCTCGAGTCAAACACTCACAAGCTGCTTATGAGACGGATGCACTCTTGGCCATAGTCGTAACTGGCCTGGTAACTGTGAGCCAGCCACCCCCCCCCCCCAGTTTTCTCACCCCCTCCCCCTTCCCTCCATCCCCTCCCTGGCCGTTGGTGTGCAGAGGAGTAAACACATTGAGATGCAGATTTAAAGGCTCACGCACTTCAAAACGTTATAGAGCTGATCTTGGCCAGAGCTGCTGGGATTTCGTGTGTGTGTGTGTGTGTGTGTGTGTGTGTGTGT